CCGCGCCGGCTGCCGCTCAGCTTCCAAATCCAGCAGCTTTACTGACCATAAATGCAAATAACTGACTGCAGAAACTGATGGATCTTACTGGCATTAAAATGGAAGAGAAGGGACCTTGGCAAAATTACTGAAGCTCGTCTTAGATGAATACAAATTTTATTTATTAATAGAGCATATTCTGCAGCAAAATGTAGGCATTAGGAGGAAACTCCCTCCTGTTTTGCAGCGTGTGGATTAGTGTGCTGGCCTCTCGGGTGTAGTTACGGAGAAGTTTCAAAGGTGTTATGTCAGAAACAGAGAAGGACCAACAGAAGATGGGAAAGCAGCCTCTGTGCAGCTGTTCTGTTTCGATTTCGGACGTTCAGTGTTTTCTACAGCTTACCAAGCTTTCAGTTCTTCTCGCCAGTATGACGCAGCTAGGATGTCAGAGGTTTGGGGTTTTTTGTTTTGTTCTCCTGTTTCTGTTTGGAACAAAGTTCTGAATGTGCTGAGATGAAGGTGGGGAAGAGAAAGGTCGTACCTGGTCATTCAGGCTTTGGCACAGGAGGAGATGTAGCCCTTGGGGTTTCAGCATGATAGCTGGAGTTAACTTGGATGCCTGTTAATTGTAGTCGTTAGATTTGACTCTATTGAAGAGGAAAAAAAAATCCTGTATGCTTCTCTCAAGCATTCAGTGAAGCTTTAACTAAAGTTGAGTTGGTCTGCAATGTAGATACTGATTTGGAAATGTCAAAGGAGAACGTGGCTTCCCATTTTCAAAATAATATTGCTGCTACTTTAATACTATGTTAAAGTAATAAGTGTATTTGGTGTCTAAAATGGACCAGATATGAAACGGAGGATTGACAGTATAAGCCTAACACAATAGATGAGAAGAGCACTGAGGCCAAGCATGACATCTGGAATGTGATAGGAGGCGGTTTCAAGTAATTTATTTTTTCGTTGTCAAAGGAAAAAAAATTCCACAGGCTCAGATATCATGTCAGGGGAACCTATCTGTCAGGGAAAAGAAAACAGGGAGCATGATCAGAAATAGCTGCAAAAAGGGTTTTCTCCACGGATGTCTACTTGCGGATTAGCCTGAGTAGGAAAAATATCAATGTTTAAGAATAAAATGTGCAGAACAAACTGTTCATGTTTTGTCAAAGTCAGGTCTCTCCTAAATCATTTATATGAATACGAAGGATCCTCTTCCTTTCCCAGCTCCCCATTGCAGCGTTTTATATATAAAATCACCTGTAGTGTCTCTTGTCTTCCTCCTCTCCCCCGCAGGAGCCTTCCCGAAAGGCGTTAACAGAAATCTGTCGCTTGAGACCGGTGTGCTGGGATTTAGCCCTAGAAATACCTGCTGAATCTTCATTCCTCGTCCTCAGATGAATACTGGTCACAGGGGAATAGTTGTCTGGGCGGGATATGTAGCTGCGGGGCAAGCTGGGGATTTATTAACGACGGCTCAGGCAGGCTGAGATGCAGCGGTGAAGCCCCGCTGGCCCTGGGGATGTACGGGGCTCAGGGGGACGGGGACCTTCGGCAGCTTCACACCCCCAGGGCTTCGTTCTTCTCGTGTGCTGGGCGTAACACGGGTCTCCCTCATCTGTGCTTCCTAGGCAGTACTTTAATACAAATCAGGGTTAGCAGAAACTGGAATGAGTTGGTGCCAATGTTAAGAATTCTGGTAGTCATTTTAAGTGAGCCATTTCTCTTAGTCATTTTAAGTGAGCTATTTTTCTTTATAATTTCAAAATATTGTTCTGGAATGGAAAAAATATATACTAGTATGGTACAGTTTTTTGTGTTTGCATACTCGCTATCTATATTTTTGTTATGTGTCTCTGTCAGACGTGACATCTCATTTACTCAGTGCAGGATTTGATGGCCACCTCGGCATACCTGCACATCTGCTTAGGTAGCTTGGAAGAGTAAATGTGAGCACTAGAACATTAACTGATAAATAATACGTATTTTTTAAAATATTAAATAGAAGACTATTCTACAGAATAATCGAAGTGATATGCTTAATGCAACCAAAACACATCTTGTGGAAACACAAGCACCTCCGAAGCAGAGCGAGGCAGTCTGAACGCCGGCAGCAGCGTGGTTTCTGGCCCCTCCTGGTGCTGCCTGCCCCGCTCCCCAGCGCAGCCTCAGCCTCTGCAGCAGGTCACACAGGGCTGCCGGGAGCAGCCCCCCCTGCCACGAGCTGAAAGTGAGAGCAGTAGCTGGAGGTAGTCTAGGATTAACCACATGGGACGAAAGGATGTGGCTGTGGAGTCCTAACTGAGGGTGTGCCACTGAAGGAATCCATTCTGCCTCTCCTGCACCTGGGGATGAACAACCCCAGGCACCAGTGCAGGCTGGGGCTGACCTGCTGGAGAGCAGCTCTGCGGAGAGAGACCTGGGTGTGCCGGGGGACGACAGGGTGACCATGAGCCAGCAGTGTGCCCTGGGTGCCAAGAAAGCCAATGAGATCCTGGGATGCATCAAGAGGAGTGTGGGCAGCAGGACGAGGGAGGTTCTCCTTCCTCTCTGCTCTGCCCTGGGGAGGCCCCATCTGCAGTGCTGTGTCCAGTGTTGGGCTCCCCAGTTCAAGAAGGATGAGGGGCTCCTGGAGAGAGTCCAGAGGAGGGCTACGAGGATGATGAGGGGACTGGAGCAGCTCTCCTACGAGGAGAGGCTGAGGGAGCTGGGTTTGTTC